CCTTCCTCTCTCCCTCCCTTCTTTCCTTTTTCCTCTCTCTCTCTCTCCCTCTCTCTTCCACTATCTCTCCTGTATGTTTTCCCCAATTTCTAAAAGTTCATAACACCAGCAAAGTTCCTTTGACTCCTCAGATTTATGAAAGCCCTGAACCAAATTCATGGAATCAGACTGCTTCTCCCTTCTCAGCTTATAAGAGTTTAATCATTCCTTTCTTTCCTTCCTGGTCTACAGGTGTTCTTTTCTTCCAGGTCTTTTAGGACTGGTCTATATCTGAATGTTCAACCATGCATCTGGACTGGGTTTTAACAGAAGTCATTCAACCTACTCATCAGGCCATGGACATAGGGGGTAATGTACCATCCCTACAACTGTGGTACAGATTAAAGCTCCTTTATTTAAAGGGAGGACCTGGATTCTGACTACCTCTCTATCAATCCCGCACTGAGGAAGTCCTCCCTTCTCAAGTTGGTTTTCTTGTATCATTTAAATACATGGTTTTCTCCACCAAACTGTACCTTGAGGGTAGGAGCCTGTCTACATGCCTCATCCATCACGACGGTGACTCTGTGATTTGGCCTTAATGGGCATAACTAGCATTTGTGGGAGGGTGATAGGTAAAATCACAACAGATTTGCTCTTTGTATGGTTCTTATTTAGCTCTGTGTCTTATTTACTGGGTGATTCCTATTTAGGCAGCTAGATCAGAGGGCATCCATTTCTTCAGGGATTGTCAGTGAATCAAAAAGAAAAATAAATGCAATTCTTGGCTTTTGATAATAATATCTTTGTTCTGAATATAAGATGAGAAAAAAAATTGAAAGAATAAATAGATAGGCAGAAACTGTTTTTACCCTTCCTTCCTTTCTACCCTCCCTGCCAGATAAAGATCTCTGAATGAGATTCAGGCTGGGGAAGCATGGGAGAGGAGCAAAGGGGCTCAAGATATAAGTCTGTTGCTGATCCCTTTCGAAACCCATCTCCTTCCTAGAGAAAGAGAGTGGAGATAATGTTGAGGGGTGGGAGGACCAGAGTGAGTGTTTAGAACAGCTCAAGATTATTTGGGGACCCTGGACGACTGGAAATGAC